CTGGAGAAAGGGCCAGTAGCACAGCTTAGAGTTGTGAACTAAGCTTTGTGGGACAGAAGTTTTTCCCCGTATGTGCCTGCACTGTGCAGAGCTAAGATCTATCATGTTCCTGAGACCATGTAGCTCCAGGTGACAACTATTATTTCTGTTTCTTAACAATTACAATTTTCAGAAATCAGTGGTTAGAGAATACAAATATTATGTATGTGCTGGGCCACATTACATTGGAGCATGTTGGATGTCTGTATTTCCATTTGCACATTTTTACTTTTCTCACTTCTGAGCTAGGGCATGCCTCTCCAGAAAGCGTAAGCAACATCCTAGCCCAGAAGGCAACTTGCAGCAGCCAATGGCACCACACTGCTGTTCTCCTCTGAGGAGCAGTTGTGTCTCTGTCCCTTCAGTCCTTAAATTCCTGTTTCTGCCTAAGTCACATCCTCACTACTTTTAATTGAGCTCCTGATCCTGGCATGAATCATTAACTTGTTATTACACCTTTGATCTCAGAAGCAAGGAGTGCAACATAAATACACTTTCTGTAAACAGTGAAAAAGAACAGAAGTTGCCAGCTTTCCATGGCTGTATTCCATCTCATGTATTTAAGTCACACAATGACATGCAGCAATATACTTAGCTTTAGTGAAATGTCACTTACGCACATGCAAAACCAAAGTAGGCCATGAGTGTAATAAAGACAGACTTCTGTTTTAAACAGCCTTTGGTGAACATCGTATGAAATGTTGCTAAGACCTGGCATATCAGATTTTGAATCCTATATAAGATCTATACTTAATTGAACGCATTTTAGAAGAAAAGGCAACAGCTGACTGTATTTAAATGCTTTAGTATGGAAAACCATTATTTCTAGATGAGATATTAATATAGTGCCAGTCGAAACAAATGTTGCTCCATAGTGGTACAGAGAAGCTACACTAGCTACATACTTAGCAATGGAAATGTGATATAGAGTGAATCATCCAGTGTTCAGTTTTACTTCAAAAAATTACAATTTCTTTACACAGAATAAAGACATTTTGTTTCTACCAGATTTTTCTTCTCTTTTTATTTTGTTAAGTTACAGTTTGAAAAACTATATTGCCCTGAAAAGGAATGACAGGCTACCTGAGCTATCTGTGGTCAAACCTAGTCCCAGAGCAGTACCTTGCCGAGTTGGAAGCCAAGAACCATTCCTGCAGCAGATGGGGATGTTGGTGGATCAGGGAAAGGTAACACAGAAACACGGGACAAAACATATCCTGAAACCCTGGTGTCTTGCAAAGGCTGACTTCTTTACAATTCTCATGCTCAAGAGGAGACAAAAGCTGCAGGCTCCCCAGCAGGGGGGGAGGGACAGGCATGGGCAGCATGGCCCTGCAGACACTCTGGCCTTGGCATGCTCACATGGACTGCTTGGCTACCCGTTCCTGCTTGTGGCCCCTTGCAGCATTCACACCGATGGACGTACAGAATAATTCAGCCCCCATATTTCTGCACAGCCCTGGCTTTCTGATGCATTTTGCTTTAGCTCTGTGAAGGCAATCTAAACACTGAAGCAGCAATGACAATAACGTGGGAGAAAGAATGAGCTCTTCACTCCTCCTCCCTGTCACCAGTCTTCTCGTGGGGATGTGTTTGGGGGGTCCCACCGTCTGCAACCCTCACTTCTGAAGGCAAAGGGGAGCTTGGCAGGGGGAAGAAGGGTAGCCTGCTGCAGGCAATAGTGTGACATCCAAGACAAACATGTTAAAAAAGGTAACTATGCATACCTGCTTTAGGTAACTGCTGATGATTTATTTTTTTTCATTAAATACATAAGAATTATTGAATAAGATCTTTCTGTTAAAAGATCCTTTATAAGTGCATAGGTAAAATGTGATCCCTTCAGCAATTTATTTCAGCTGTCCCTTATTTCTGTAAAGCTTTCCCTTAACACTCGAAGCGGTCAATTTCTTTGGCCTTGCTCTTTTTCCCCTTTACCCAACTTCCCATTGTTCTCATAGGACAGCAGTGAGTGCAAAGGACCCCATCATGCTCTTTGTTTTGCATCTTATAAAAGCATGAGACAGCTCTTCGGACCTTTTCTACAACACGTGTTCTTTGCAGAAGAGGAGAAGTTAGGAAGCAATGGTGGTTGACCATGCAAGGGGTGAAGTGCACATGAAGTGCTGGCTAGTTCCTGCGGCTGGAGACCAAGCATATAGAATCATAGAATCATTAAGGTTGGAAGAGACCTCCAAGATCATCGAGTCCAACCGTCAACCCAACAACACCATGCCCACTAAACCATGTCCCTAAGCGCCTCATCTACCCGTTTTTTAAATACTTCCAGGGATGGTGACTCAACCACTTCCCTGGGCAGCCTGTTCCAATGTTTAAAATGGTGACTGCAAGGCTGGAGGGCAGGACTGACGTGAAGTTGAGCTACTAGAGTTAATCACTGGAGTGAATGAGCAAATGTGGGGAGGGCAGGATGGGTACCTATACCATCCAGAAGGGATATCTGCATCATGGTGAGTTTTCCTTGTCCAGTGATAGCTGCTGCCATGCCGGACATCAGAAGGCATGGATGTGGTCTCCAGAAAGTCAGGAAGAAGGCACTGCACAACAAGTTATACCTGGGAGCATCCAGGGGCTCCCTTTCTTTAGGCAGTCTGGTTAACTCTACCATCCTACCTTTAATGGCGCAAGCCAGTGGGTGCTGTAGGAATCTCATGTTTTCGGAATACCTTTTTAACATTTCCCACAGAGGGTAGCCATGACTATGCCATCCAGGCCTCACCACCTTTTACCCTGGAGGTGTCAAGCTGTGTAGCTGTTTGACAGTTCCCTTTGTTAGAGAAATTTAGTTGCAAGACATAGCGAAGTCATTTGTAACATTTTAAAAACCTAATTTTTAATAAGCAATTTTTATACACTGTGGTTTTCCTCTTAACTCATCCTGGACTCAAAATTAATCCAAATGTTATCCTTCTTACATTTTCTGAGTAGAAGTACTGTTCAGATTCAAATGCCCTGATTTCATTTTAGAATGGTAAAATCCAAAGAGGGGAGTTACTCTACAATTAACATCATGAGCTGCACATGTGAGAATTCACAGCAAGAAATCTATGGTCTTCATATTCATCTCACAAAATTTCATGAGGTGACTGTCTTTTACAGTATAATTTTGGTCTCAGTGGGCTTGATCTTTTGCAGTGCTCAATCTTAAACCCAAACTAAGAACCTCGTTCTGACAGCCACATCCTTTCATGATTCAAATTCTTTACCATTAATCCTGTGGGATCTAGAGCAGAAAAGTTAATAGATATATATGCCTCTTTTAAATGTTTTGGAAATATTGTGAGATAGGAAGGGTAAGGTATTCAATTATTATTTGTATGCACATTTTTGTGCTCATTAGTCTGTTAAAACGGTGAGGTATGATTTGAAAGCAAAAATTCTTGCATTTAAGACTCAGATTTTCTCTGTCAAGGATATGTTGACCTAGGTTAATCACATGTTAATGGTATTAGATGTATTAAATCATGAAGAATTGGCAGAAGTGTTAGGATTTAATTAAAAGCAACAGAATTATTTTATCTCCTGAGAAGGTGAGGATATGTAGAGTATAGCTCTGTAGTACAAAATAGAGCATCAAAACTTAAGTAATGGCAAAGAAAAACAATGTAAAAATGCATGGAAAACCTTAGAAAATAGCAAGTTAAAATGAGATTCACCATCCGATAACTGGCTATATCATCCTCAATACGAGTCACTCATGATGAAGTGGTACTGGTGAGCCTTTTAGTCTATTTCACCAAGGAAAACTTGGGTTGCATCTATAAATTAACTGAGGACACCGGTTTGTAAAGATAGTCAGTGTCTCCAACTAACAAAAATGGAAACACACCCACTTAATACACTAATAGCCAGCGTGAGGTTAGCCGTAGGTCACATTACCATTGTGCGTGGCGGGGTGGATAGTCTGACATCAGGCTTTGAATTACTGCACCCAAAACATTATAAGGAAGGGTATTCATAGAGGAGCTTTAGGGCAGTGCTCACATTTCAGCCACAGAGCAGACAAATAACCTTGGCTTTTTTATGAGGAAAAGGGAGAACTACAGCACAATAGGAACAAAACAGGAATCCTCAGAATGAGAGAACATATAGGAATACACTGAAAAGTCTCGACATTAAGCTCTGCTTCCTTTTGCCTAGTCATAGGCAAGTGCTAGAAAGAGAAGGCAAGATTTTTCCCCCAAGTTAGGTACAGGAGTCCACACTGCCTATCCACCTGCAGCACTCCTGTGACAGCCACCTGAATACCTTCACAGTCAAAAGTCCTAACCTGATTTTTTTTCTGTGCAAAAAACAATTGTCATATACTTTTTTTTCATGGGAAACAGTTTTGAGATAACTTTCAGGGACTGACTTTTAGAAAAATATATTCTTTTAAATTTGTTTAGAAACTGCAGCATTTTCTGTACTTTTTGGTTATTAAAGTAGGAAGATAAGAAAACATGGGAAAAAAACCCCTTATTTTCCCATACGTTATTAGAGGCTCCAAATTGTTGCTGTTCTCTGGATGACAATGAAGCGGTGGCAGTATTCTTTTCACAGAGAGGTCTTTGTCAACGTGTTAGTTTTTAAAATGAAAGGGAATTTTAACCACTTCTTTACTGTTTGCACTCAACTGTTCTGCTGTTATTCAGATCATTAATTAAAGGTGTGACAGTAGTATTTAGAGACACAGAAGACAAAAAGTGTTTGCAGACTTCACAGTCAACTCAGATTTAGAGAAGCATTGTACAGATCCGAAATGGCACTGAAGAAGATGGTAGATAGTTATGAAAAAGCAAATTAAATACGTGTTAAAGATGGTAACACTCGCACTCAGTGACAGGAGTAACAACAAATGAGGACTAGTTAGGACAGAATTACGGAGTCTCTTGCTTGTGAAGACAAGAAACTTCTACATGCACTGCAATAACGATCGTGGACATCACAGACGTACTGCTACAATAAAATAGAGGGTATGGTTACATGAACTAAGGCAACATAGTTGTAGTGGCCAGAGGAAAAAATGAAATTAGAAATAAGAATAATAATTTCAGACATGGCCAGAATATTCGTGCCAAAGTGGAACAAAGATGGTTCCCCAGGTCGGAGGAGACAGTTTTGTCATTGATGACAACAGGATTGTGGGAGAAAGAAAGAGTAGCAGCTGTGCAAATCTCAGAAGAGATGATTCAGACATGCAGTTTTGGACACACAATTTTGAAAATAATTGTGAAACATTCAGAAAACAGAGGCTGGCTAAAACACAGGACTAGGAAGGATGGAGACACATTAGAAATAAAAAGCTAGATTTGCATGCTGTTAGTAAGGACAGTAGAGGAATCCACAGGAGTGGAGGCAATTCCTTAGGTTATGCAGGAAAAAGTGGCTAGAACTTAGAGGATGGTGAGATAAGGAGAAAGTCTCATGCCCTGAGTGAATGGTCAAGGAGTTATTTCATAAGAAAAATGATGTTTAGTGCTGTAAGATGTGGTGCAGGATGCTAGGATGGAAGATGCTGTAAGTACCACAAAAACAAGTGGGAAACATAATCTGGAGAGCTAGGTTTATAGATGTTAACAGACATTTGTTGAGAAGTAATTTATCAGGGTGAAACATGTGAAAGCCTAACAGAGGGGAGTGTAGTCTGAGCCATAGAAGTAGAACATGGTAGAGGAGGTGCCACTGACTTTCAAGAGTGTGAAAGACACAAGGAGATGGCTGGGGATGGTGCAGTGCGCCCAGCAGCTTTCTGGAGAGAACCATATTTGCATTGTCAAGGGAAGTAAGCAGAGAAGCAGGAGGAATTGAGGAGGTAAAGAAAGCATATGAGAGAAATAGGGATAAGCAAGCATTCATTCATAGTCTGTTAGGATCAGTGGGATTAGCATGAAGGTATCAGTAGTTTATTTTCAACAGAGAAGTTCACAATTTAATTAAATATACTGAAAAACACCTGAGCCGGATCTAAGTGACATGCAAATGTTCGTCATCTAAACCTGTGTTCCTAGTGTGAAGCTCTATCGTGAGAGTTTGTGGAGAAACAGTTCATGTCCAATTCCACATGTAGCTCATAGCCTAATTACCACTGTTAAGATTTGAATTGTACTCCTTTTGCACTAGCCCCTCTAGCACGCTTTAATAGATTACATTTATGGTTGTCTTACATCATTTTGCCACCCTGTTAGACAAACACTCTGACATGCAGCAAGCACAGACATAAAAATGTAGGCTGCAACAGGGTGATATGAAAATTAGTGTTTCTGGACAAATAGGAAATTAATATTAGAGTCTAATTAGTCTTCATTTCATTTGGAGAAGGAATTAATTAGTCTTAATGGGACCACAGAGGCATCACAAATATTTTCTTTCCATCAAGCAAAGCCTACATTGAACAACAATTAATCAATCATTCTCATAAAACACAGGGTGTCAGCAATATTTCTCACTGTCCATAACACTGTTATTTTTCAGTTCCTCACAAGTATTTTCTGTTAAGGGCCAGATTTTATTTGTTTTATTACTATGAGTACTCCCATAACTGCGGAAAAAGCCATTTTCTTGCACAAGGCATTGGTTCTTACCTTCTGCACATACAAACGTTTTTTTGTAAACGTTTACCAATTCTCCAGCATTGACATTCCCTATCTCTAGTGAGATGCTGTCTCTATGACAGGTTCCCATCTTTGGTACAAACAAAGAATAATAGCATCAGTGGGAGTTTTCATGTTAAAATATCTTCAGTAATGCTTTTCAGGAGGAGGATACCTTTTTTCCTGCCTGTCAGTCAGAGAGTACTTTTTAAGACATGTGAGCACCTTGACGCATTGGTAGCAGTCCAACCAAACAATATATTAGCCCTGACACAAAGTGCTACGGAGTTCCCAGAAGCTGATTCTTAAATCCTTCAATGTAACATAATAAAAAAATTTTCAGAATTACAAGCAAAAAAAGGGGTGGGGGGAGTGGGCTTTTGTTTTAGCTTTTTTTTTTAAGAGAGTTGCACACAGTGACTGAAGAAACACCTCTTGCATTATGTGGTAAGAGCATGGCATGAACATTTTACCATATACAAAAAGTAAGTTCCGCAATGGAT